TATGTACATTATTATTATTATATACATGAAAAGCACAAATAATTACATATTTAAATCTTATTATATTAACATTTACATAAATTTTAAAAGAATTATCCAAGATTTATTGATTCACACCGAACAAAGAATCAATTGATCTTACGTAATATTTGACCTTTGAGTCATATTATTACGCGTTGTGAGAGATAGCAATTGCTGTACGCAGTTGTCTGTAACAATTCGCGTTGACAGTGTCGCTAATAGTGATTTTTATAATCAGTCGCATCTTGTCAAACGTTTACAAGAAGTACTTATAAAGACATTTTCAAGTTACATTTGCCATGGAATACTGGTTAATATTGTTATCGATAGTGATCGGTGTTGTCAGCATTGATTACCTCTTTAGAAGTTTTAATTTCTTTAAAAGACATGGTATTATACATGTACCGCCTATTTCAATTTTCGCAACCATAGCATCGATTATATTTCCTCGAAGATCATTCGTTGACATCATTTTGGAGCTGTACAATTTTAATCCGAATGCAAAATATTATGGATTTTATGGCATTATAATTCCATTCTTCGTGCTTCGCGATCCGGAACTCATTAAGACTATTTTTGTTAAGAATTTCGAAGCATTTCCAGATCGTCCTGGTTTCTCCGATTTAAATAATCCTCTGCTCGAGAAAAATTTGTTTTCTCTTCGCGGAGAAAATTGGCGAAACGTAAGAAGTCTTTTGAGTCCCTCTTTTACGTCCAGCAAGATGAAAATGATGTTCACGTTGATGTCGGAATGTGCTGTAGATTTTGCTAAATTTCTGTCGACATTGCCAACGGATAAATTATGCAATATGAACATGAAAAATGCTTTCTCTAAATATACAAACGATGTCATTGCCACATGTGCTTTTGGAATCAAGGTCGATTCTATGAAGGATCCAACGAATAAATTTTATGTTTATGGCAAAGAAGCGACTAACTTTATAGAGGATCACTTTATAAAGTTTATTTTTCTTAAAACATTTCCTAGTCTCGGACGAATTCTCAATGTAAAAATTATAAACGATTACGTATTGCATTTCTTCAAGGACATTGTAAAGACTACAATCGCTACTCGCGATAAGGAACACATTACACGTCCGGATATGCTGCAGTTAATGATGGATATCAGAGACAAAGAAGGTGATAGAAAATTAGATATTGATGACATGACTGCGCAAGCATTTATTTTTTTCTTTGCTGGTTTTGATACCAGTTCAACCGCGATGTCCTTCGTAGCTCACGAAATCGCAGCTAACCCAGAAGTTCAAACCAAATTACAACAAGAGATTGACAAGATTTTGAATGAATCGAATAAAGAAGTGTCTTACGAAGTTATTAATCAGTTTGAATATTTAGATGCGGTGATAAGCGAGGCACTCAGATTATATCCACCAGTTGCCTTCTTAGAAAGGACATGTGAAAAAACTTATGAATTACCACCCGCATTACCGGATGAGAAATCTGTTATCGTGAAGAAGGGTATGCCTGTTTGGATTCCGATTTTGGCAATCCATCGTGATAAAAAATACTTCGATGATCCGGAGAAATTTTATCCAGAAAGATTTTTAGATAATAAGCTTCATAATTCTTCATGTTATATGCCGTTTGGATTAGGACCAAGAATGTGCATAGCTAACAGATTTGCCATACTGGAAATCAAAGTCTTGCTATTTCATTTATTAGCGCGATGTGAATTGAAACTTTGCGCAAAAACTGAGTCCCCAATAAAATTCAGGAAAAGTCTGGTAATGGCGCCGGAAAATGGATTCTGGTTGAATATTCAGCGTAGGAAAAATATGCATCCTTTGCTGGAGTCTGCAATAGTGGATAATTAATATTAAAAAACATTTCAAATAGCAATAATGTGGCTATTTAAAAAAAATACATTTGTAACAAAAATTATTTTTATAATAAAAATTAATTATTACATGCGTCTTTATGTGTGAATATACATATTATACTTATTATTATATGCAGCAATAATAAATTCAAGATTATGAATTGAAATTATTTATTGGAAATAATAATTAGTGTTATTAAAATGTATAATTCAACGAAAATCGGAACATATTGTAGCAATTACGATCTATTCAGGTTCAAACTTATATTTTCTTCTATACATATATCTAATTTATTGATATACAGATTTTTATAGGAACAAAAAGAAGAAAACGATGAGAATAAATATATATATGTAATATGTATAGAGATATTTATTACTAAATAATAGCATATAACAGTATACAGTTTATTTAAAATAAACACACACCATTTTTTATATATTATTTATTAAAGATAGGACTTTTTCGAAACTGTGAAACCCTCGAAACTTAGAAAAGTTATACTTTTAAGGTATAAAGTTTCTAAAATTTAATATTTACAGTATTTTGTTAACATATTGATATATTAGGTGTTGGAATTAATTCGTAGCGTTTTTAATGAAAGAATGTTATTTATTTCACATGAGCATTAAAAAATACATTAATGAAAGTACTTCCCATCACTTGTAAAACGCTACGAATTAATTCCAACACCTAATATTTTTTTGTTATTTAATATATAGAATGAAAGATTAGAATAAGGATTTAATTTATAGGGTTTATAATTATATATAAACAAAATTTTTGCTACAAATTATAATTTTGCCGATTGAATTGATAATCGATTAAAGGAAGTCACCTATTATGTAAAGAATCAATTCAGCTGTTTTGATTGTAAATAATTAGAGACTTTTTTCGTTTTACATATCAATAATTGAGAAATATATAGAAAATATTTTTAAAATGTCGAAAATATCATTAAAAACAGCTCAAGAAAAGATGCGTGAAAACATTCCAGATAAACATAATCCACATGAAATATTGAAGTACAATTTTATGGAAAAAGAAGGTTTTGAATTCACATCAGTTATTTCGACTACAAAGGTATGTTTATCCTATTCTTAATTAAATTTTGATTTGAGAAATTTTATATTGATTCAAACAACCTTGGATTACTTTGACTACTATAAAAGATGCTTATCTCTTTTTCCTAATTGAATTATCTTAAATTCTATCTTATTTGTAAAGATCTACTCACCCGAATTTGACAAACAAAAACAGCAAATTATCGATAGTGATTGGGGAGGATATGCCTTGGATTTAGATTTATGGGAGGACAACAAATCGTCTATGGTACAAATAAGGCCACATGAAGTATCATTGGACAACAAGGAAAGTTTCGGTTTTTTGTCTGACAGATTGATAGGCATCGGCTCATCCTTCCTAACGAGATCACCCGAAAGCGGTCTCTATATTCTCAGTAAATGTGTTCTGAAAAATAGGGTATTGTCGAAAATTCCACAATTAAATTAATACCCAACGAACAAAAATGTTAATACAAATTTTATCGATAAAACGAGGACAAGAATATAATTATCTACAATATGTTAGCAATTTAATTTTGTCTAAATTGTAATATTTAATCTTAATTTACTATATAATTTATCATACAGTTTACTATATGATTTTATAAATTTTTATTATTAATATTTAAGTAAATATTAAATGTTTAATTATATAAATATTCCTTAATATTAATTTTTTAATTTTTAATTATAATTTATTTATTTATATTTAAAATATGAGTTTAATGTGAATACAATTAATGCCGATTTGCCAACAATTTTCGATCGAATTGTTGTCAATCTGCTGACATACTACCGACAGTTTATTTATTGAGTAAAAATAATTATACGAAATGATTTCGTCCATTTTCTACTTCTTATAGCAGATATCAAAAGCAAAAAGAAGAAAAATCTGCAAGCAGATTCTGTTATATTTTTATTCTGCTAACAAAATATATACTTAGCAGACACTTTGCAAAATTTGTTTTCAATAGATGTCTATATAATTGAGTTAATTAATAATATTTGAATTTTATATTTATCTTGTTGCTATTCTTTGCTTTTTAGGGTCTTACGGATATTACCATGTTGCAATATCATCGACATTTGCAATATATTGATCTCACTAATAATAATGTATCATGTTTGTCGCCTCTGAGCGGCCTTCCATACTTAATGTATTTAAACGCATCGCATAATAAAATTGAACATGTGTCAGATTTTACACCTCCTTGGTACCTCACCTACGTAAATTTATCTTACAATCGTATAACAGACATAGGCGATCTGAGCAGCTGCTGGAGCATCGTTAAATTAAACTTATCTCACAACATTTTAGAAAGCATTTCTGGGCTAAAAAATTTAAAGTAAATACAAAATATGTGTCTTCCGATGCGCGACCTGTATTTACAATTTGTTATCGTTTTTTATAGACATTTACAGTACTTGAACTTGTCCTACAACCTCATCGAACGTATTGAAAATTTGGACGATCTGAATATACGAGAATTAAATTTAGAAGGCAATTGTATAACTTCATTTAGATCTGCCATACCCGGCCGTGGCATAAATACGTTATCTAATTTGCGAACAATTCTCCTGGGATACAATAGATTGTCCACTCTGAGCTTTTTCAAAGTGATCATCACAAAAGAACGGATTGCACGCCAAAGTATTTCTAGTCCTGTTTTAATTAAATGGTTTTTAGGATGCATACACCTTACGCTTCGTAGATCTAAAGTTCAATAGAATCACTGATCTAATGGAGATATTGAATTTGAAGGGCTTCATATCTAAGATCGACTTTAGAGGCAACGCCTGCACAAAATGGCCCAATTATCGAAATATATTGATATCTTCTATATCAAGCATTAAATTTATTGACGGTGTTCAGGTCTTTCCGGAAGAAAAGGTAATTTTTCTAAATGAAAAAGAGAAAACACTTTTCAAAAGTACTGAGAGCCTACATTTTTTCTAGAATTCCGAAGGAAATTGATAAAATCTGAAGAAATTTAAGATTTTTTTTTTCATAAATTAAAAATATTAATTTTTTTAAATATTATGGGATATTATGAGAATTTTTTTTAAATTTGGAACTTATAGTTACTTGCAACTAATTGATTATAACATTTAATCATTAATTTTTATAATAATAATAATAAGAAAACATTAAAAATAATTAAAAGGAAAATTTTCGCATTATTTGTTTCAGAAAAGATCAAGTTTGGAGAAATGTAAAAGAATTGTTCATGTATGTAATTATATATAAAAAAAAACTATATATAGTTATATGTACAAGCAAATTTTTGTACATTTCTCTAAACTTAATTTTTCTAAAATAAACAATGCGAAAATTATTCCTTTAACTGTTTTTGATATTTCATTATTCTTATTATTTTTAACACTAAAAAATAATTTTATAAAAGAAAAAAAGATGTATAAACATGATGTATGGACATATTTCATGTATAATTATCAGGGTTGAGTATAGTGCTAAGTTAAAAAGATAAAAATTAAGTTAAAAAATTAATTAATTTTAACTTAACTTAGTTACAATTTAGATTTTACTCTTAACTTTTTAACTTTATTTAGTTACATTTTATCCGTAACTATTAATTTTTTATTTAATTTTTTTGAAATTAAGTCTCAGGCATTATACGCGGTAATAGCGATAACTTAAAATAAGGTGAAAATTGCAAAAGTGAGCAAATTTATTATTAGGTGTTGACCAATGAAATTATAAATATTCTAATGAATTTGTTCACTTTTCTAATTTTCATCTCATTTAACAAATTACACAATCGACTCCCAGATTTCAATTTGTTAGAAATGCCGTGTATTTTAATGTATCTAGTTTTTGATAGGTTGAAATTTATTATTCCTTATTATTAAAATATAACACATCAATATCATCTTCGGCTCATGTAGGTTCACATGTTGATCGGCTGTTCAGTGCAGGATTTATTTGCGATAACTTGCGAGAAAAGATGTCCGACAAAAATTTCGAAATAGCTTTATTACCTATATTTAATAAGTATATGTGAACAAAATATTCAAACATTTAACTTAGTTAAAATTAAGTTAAAAAAGTTAACTTATCCAACCCTAATAATTATATATGGATATTTATGCATGTTTATATATTTTTATAAATATTTTTACTTGGTAAATATTTTCTTCCAGGTGACATCAGCTATGCTGTTTGCTTCACCATTGGACTTGATAGCTGCCCGTAAAGTAGCAAAATTAACTTTACTAGAACACTTAAATATCAACAAGATAAACGCTCACGTTCAACCGTATGATGAAATCAGCCCTCCTTTGATAATACTCACAGGACCGTCGGCGGTGAAAAAACTGGAACTGGCATTGCATGTAGCTCAAACAATTCCCGATAAAGTAATCTTTGCAATCCATTTTTTGCAATATCCTTTCAATTATCTTAAAGGTCAATTTTAAAGAAATAACAGGATATAATTTCGTAGATAAAATATTGTCTTTGGCATACTACAAAGGAAATATGCGGAAACGATGACGAAAGTAAAGCGTACATTCTTGTAAACAAGGAAGAGTTTAACGACATAGCACGGCGCGGCGAATTTTTAGTAATTCTGGATCTTTTGGGCGATTGTTACGGATTTCGTTAGTGCAATATTACTTATATTAATTTATACGAAAATACTGTAATGGAATACATATTTGTAAAAATTTCTAAAAAATCTCATAATTTATTATAATTTTTAAGAATTTTTGTCATATTTTAAATTTATAAAAAATTCGAAAAAATACTTAAACTTCTTCAGATTTTATAAGTTTTCTTTGGAAATTAAAATGAGAAATCTTAAAATAATTTAGAATAATTTAAAAATATATAAAATATAGTTTCAAAAATTAAAGATGCAGATTTTTTTCAATATATTAAAAAAAGTATTTCAATGTTTAAAAAACTTGAGGTATTTTCTAAGAAGTTATAATATTATACACAAAATTATAAGAAATTCTTAGAAAAATTTTCATTCTATTTGAAAACTATAATTCTTTTTACAGATGTAAATCAGATTAGTCCATTGATATCTGAACGCAAAATTGGACTTACTCAAATGAATTTATACGCAGTCACCGAAATTTCTAAACGATATCCGAACGTGAAAGCGATCTTAATATTTACACAAAGTATTGATCTTCACAGAGATTGGATACAAGAGAAATTTGAGGTTTACACATGGCTTAAAGACAGTGTGGAAAATTTGTTGGCTGTTAAAGTAAGCAAGCGTGAAGGAAAAACAGAGACTACTAGTTGCATATTAAACTTTATCGAAGAAATTTTGGATGAGGTTCGATTAAATAATTTAATTATAATATACAATCTCTGTGTGTGATGAAAAAAATTTTCATAATTCATATTTAAATTTTTTTTTCGTATTATAAATTAAAAAAAAATTTTAAATTTTTTTAAATTTTAAAAGAAAATTTCTAAAAAAATATTTCTTGTTCAGATTTTATAAATATTTTTTGGAAATTATAGAATGAATAATTTTAAGCATAATATTTCAGGATTTATATAAATAAAAAATTCTAGATGTAAATCTCTTCTAAGCATTTTTGAAAAGTATTTAAATTCGCATAAAAATTGGAAAAATGTTCTAAAAAGTTTTAAAATAATATAAAAAATATGAAAAATTCTGAAAAATTATGTGAAGAATTCTAAGAAAAATGTTCACTAGGAATATATTGCGAAATTCTGTTAAATATTTGTTGTTAGATAATGAACCGTCTAGTATTTCCAATTTACATCTCCATGAGACCTCAAAGAAACGAGACTACAACAACCAATACAATATTGCAAAATAATACGATGTTTCTAAAAGGTATATTGCGAAGAAATGAAATAGCATCACAGAAAAAAAAGCACATTACAATGTTAGAAACAAAAAATGAAAAAGATATAAAATCATTTGATCAATTGTCATCAGAAGAAAAAAACCAGGCGTCGGATGAATTAAAAGTACAAATCGTAACTTTAAATGAAATTTATATTTTGTATTATCAACATTGTAAATATATAGGTATTATTGGACGAGGAATTGAATATCATTATCGATGATGAAGAGACGAAACGTGAAAAACATAGGTCGAAGATGTTGCAGCGTCGAACTATATTGATGATGGACATGCTTGACCAGTTCGATAACGATAATTTTAACGAATCAACATCTTCCGAAGAAATAATAGACATTGTATATGCTTTGAATTTCGCGAAAGATTATCCCAGCAAATCATTACATAACTTTTAGTTTTTCTAGGATATGTCAATGTTATATTTATATCAATGAAATATATTTGATACATAAGTGATATATTCCAAAGTTGCTGGCATAAAGCTAGAATAATACATTTCTCGTACAAATAATATTACGTGTAACATTGATGACTTCGTAATATTATATATATGTCTATGTTACATGTTTTGATTTGATGGGATTAATCTCATTTTAGAAACTTCTTCTATTATTTTGATCACAATATAAGATATATACATATATTCTCTGTGGAGTACTCAAGATAAATTAAGTACTTTCATTGAACAGAAAAACAACAGTAATATAAGTTTAGTTTAAAAAAGAAACATCACAATAGGATAACTTTTTTTTCAACATTCTCTTATTGTTATTCTTATTTTGTGTAAATATAATTTTCATGTACAGCAGCAAGAAAGGATAACGTACGAAGAAAAAGCAAAAGCATTAAAAAATATATATATTGAACTTGTTATAAAAAGTAGGAAATTGTACTTGGACTACCACAAAAACCATCCTGGCTTCTTTACTTTAGTGGTAATTCATTATTCCTATATTAAATTAATTTTAATTACATCTAGTATCATACATCTGATATGAATTATTACTTTGTGTTGTAGCTGCTTATGGATAATTATACAAAAGCTTTTGACTCGTTAATCAACTTCATTCATGAATCATATACAAATCTGCCTTATAGAAAATCAATATTCTTTTCAGAAACGCATCATTTTAAGCATACGGCTATTTCCGTCATGCTTGAAAGTATCATTGATAAGATCAGAGAGTGAGTATATTACATTTATACAAAGATTGGTTAACGCAAAAAATAACACTTTTCTGTTACAGAAATTTATCAATATCTAAACTCCAACGCAGAAAAATATTAAAATTAGAGAATTGATTGTTCTTCTCAAAATAATGATTGCAATAAGCTATAATAAAATAAATTAAAATATATAAATATATTATATAATCTGAACATGTATGACACTTTTTATCAATATGACTAGCAAAATAAAGTTTTGGCCAAGTATTTTAAAAACAATCTGTATAATACATGTGTATTTCAAGTTGCACGTCAGATATGTAGAAGACTTTTTGGTATACACACGTGCATTTTATACTAAAAATCCATAGTTTTTGCATCAAAACATGTCAAATAAAACCATTTTTAAACACATACGTCCACTACTAGTTACATAAATACTGTAATAAATTATATATATATATCCATATCCATTTATGATATGAGCAGCACATTGTAGATGTATAGAATGAGATAATAATTTAAAGTTACATTGTAGATACAATCAGTACCTTATTCCATCTGTAATATTTCATCGATATCTGAATCTAGATCAGAATACTTTATTTCATTTTTACGTTGAACAATAGCGGGATCTTTCTTGTCTTTCAGAGTTCGCGGAGCGGGTTGTGGGAATATGTTGCCTTTCGCCATCGGACTTGTAGAATTCCGCATAGGACTGTTCAAGATGGAGCTCATGAGACTGGTAGAGTTTAACAGTTGATTTCCTGTATTATAATTCATAAAATCCTGTGAGCCCATGTTGACTCGAAAGATGGTTTCAACCGATCCTATAGGCGGCTTTCTTGATATACTCAACTAGAAAAATAATTTATAACAATATCATTTCAATGATATATCATACAGATATATCAAATAATTGCACACAAAATATCATCTTACTTGCTCTTGTATCTTTTTGGATATTTCCGCGATTTTATCGCTTTGCGAAGTTTTTAAAACAATGTTGCCTGTGCTCATAGACTTCTCTTTCTGCAATGCATATTCTCCCCTTTCAGCAAAGCTTAAAAAAAAATAATGAGAATTAATTACATGCTTAAATATATAAATATATATGTAAAAAATAATTATATAAGAACAAAAATTACAATATAAAATCTTTAATACCTTGATACTTTCCAATCATTATTATTTACTTGATTCTTTTCTTGATCATTTTCTGATATCGTCATATCATCATTTTTTTTGTCATTCAAATCAAATAAGACTTTTTTCTTTACCAAGCTACTAACTGAGCCACTCGTCAATTTTAAAACACTTTTATTTTTCGGAGAAAGAACTGAATCGTCTGGTAAAATTGTACTGTCCGAGTCATTATTTTCAAACAATTTTGATGTTACCACCTGTTTCTTACTGATTGGAGAATTCATTTTACTTGCGATAGTATCCGATACAATTATCTTCATAGGTGAAATCTGTTTTATATCTTCTTGAGATTCAATAGAGCTTGTGGAGGAAATGCTTTGAATCGATTTTGAATATACTGGAGTCACTTTTGGACTGGTGTAAGTATCTGCTCCATTTTTTTTCAATGGTGATTCATGTGTGTTTTCATACACCTCGTCTTTGTATTTTTTAGGAAGAAGCTCGATCTTCTGCTTTAAACGTAATTTTAATGGTGTCGTATTTTCTGCTTTCTGAATAGATGTATATTCGCCTAAAAAATAAAAGATTACATCACATTATATTAACTGTCTATAGTATATTAGAGATTTAGTATAGAAAATATATGATTACCATTGTCTTTGTTGAATGCTTTCCATGCCTTCGATTTAACGTGAGTAACCAGTTTATCCAAAGGAAAATTTTTTGTAAGCGTAGAATATCTTGGTTCTTTATGATTTGCTGATATTCTCTGAAGAACATCTTCAAGTATTTTTTGTTTAATTTGATTATACCGAACTAACTTCTTTGCATTAATATTTTGCTGATGCCTTATAATCTCCATTTTTTGTTTATATGTTGCCGCAGGTATTCCTTGCCATTCTGGATCAATTCCTAATTCTCTTAACCGATTATCAAACATACTTCGCGCGTCTTCTAGAATTGATATTTTTCTGATATTGGGAGGTTTAATTGCAGGCGTTTTACATTTTTTTACTAAATCATCATCCGTTGTAACACTCTCACTATCGGTCCCTGACATTGACGACAAAGAACCAGATTCTGTTACAGAACTTACACTACGCTTTTCTAAAAATTCGGATCTCTTGTTTTTCATATTATCTGTATGTAACATTTCTTTCTTTTCTCTAATATCTACATATTTTTTATTTATATCATTAGAATCTTCTTTGATAATAAAATTTTCATTTATGCAGTCATTAATGTCATCCAACTCATCATGTCTTACATTATTTTTCATTTCTTTAACAACTTCTGATCTATTTAATTTTTTCATATTAGACTTAGTAATCAAATGTTTTACAGTCCTGCTGTTAGTTACAACTTTCTTATTATCCTTGCTCTTTACAATGTTATCTTTAGTAGATATCTTTTGGGTTCGTGCTACTGACATCAATTTTTCATTATATTCTTGACTAGATTCACTACCAACATCTTGAATGACCATCTCAGTTTTATCTTCAGTATTATTTAAACTCTTATAAGTTTTTTCATTGTTGCTGTCATGTTTTATTAATAAAGCAGATTTATGGAATTCTGCCACGTTTTTTTCCCTAGTTTTATTACTACTGATTTGTATCTGTGAATTATTAATCTCACGTGACAAGCTATTTAATTGTTCTCTTTGCTCTACCAACATGTTGGTTTGATCCATGGACTGTTTCTCCAAATCGTGTACCTTAGACGCATACTCAGACTTTATACGATCAGCTATCTGCTGAGTCGCTTTCAATTCTGTCGTCAATTTCTCGATATCCTGATGATGTTGAGCTTCCATATCTTCCATCTTGGTTTTCCAATGATTTTCTTGCGTTTGTAGCTTTGCCTGCATATTTTCCATGCCTGGAGTCAACTAAAAAAATAATCTAATATAGCTTAATATCTAATAATGTACAATAAAGATTATCATTTCTTACTCTTTCAAGAAGCTGATTTCTCAAATTCTCAATTTCTTTCTCTTGTTGACTAATTAGACTTTTCACATTTGTCTCCAAAATACTCTCATTTACAACGTGATCTTTTTCTCTTAATGCCTGCAAAAAGATTCCAAGTAATTTGTAAGAAATTCTATAAATAGAATAAATCACTAATTAATTTATGAACTTACACGTATCTCATCAAACAACATGTTCTTCAAACTTCCAATGTCTTCTTGATATCTTCTTTGCTCTTGAAATCTATCTACTCTGTTAAAATCATACTCATTTTTACTTGTGTTTCTTGAATAATCCTTCTCTGAATTATCCAATAGTTTGTCGGATTCATTCCTTATTACTCTTTCAGTTTGATTCAGTCTTTCCTTCAATGTTTTTATCTCATTGTGTAATTTCTCTGTTTCTTCTCGGTAATGGTCATGTATAGGAGAAGAGGATACACCCATATCTGATATGTATGAATGTTTGCGTGCTATGTGAGCATTTACAAATATAGCACGCACAAATGTTTTCGGACAATGTGGACACTACAAGAAACCTTGCAATTAGATTTTGAGAGTATTGTAATTAATTTATAACTTCAATTAATAATATACTGTAAATGTAGGTGACTTGGGACAGCATATATTTTTGTTAAATTTAATCGTAGAATCCATCCATAAGTCATTAAAGAAAATTTAAATTTTAAACTTTCTTTAGAGACTCATAGATATCATGATTAAATTTAACAAAAATACATGCTGTCCCAAGTTATCTATATTTGCAGTATAATTTATAATTTGTAACCAACAGAAGTCAATATATCATTTATAATCAATAGAACACATCTTATTTCTAACAAATAAATTTGTTGAAATTTACTTTGTAAACTTCCCCATTAGAGATTTCACCAATGCTAGTCTCAATTAATTTACGTTTTTCCTTTGATCTCTCCTTTAGATTCTTTACAGTATCTTGCAATGCAGCAATTTCTTTCTTCATACTGATATTTTGTTCGATCTTCTGTCTTAACTCATCCTTCAATATTATTACACTATGATCCAAATACTGTTTACAATACAATAAATATTCGACTGACAGTTGTGCAAGTCTGAACAACTTAACAAAATTAGGGTCCAAGATCTTGACATCATATTCACTCTCCAAGCAGTAATCTATTACATTATTAATGTTTTGATCTATACTTGAAAAATCTCTTTCCCGTATAACTCTGTCTATATCTATAGCACCTGTAATAGAAAGACAAAATGTAATTTACAATAATAAAATACTTGATATTTGTGTCATAACATCTGACTTACCTATGCGATTCCAGTCAACTCGTACTCTGGATCCATGCATATTAAAATAAAATCCTGATTCCCTGGCGAGTTTCGGGAAATCATGGCACCAATTAGTACCGACTCGAAACGAGAATGCCATTATTTAAAGACTTATTTGCACAGCACGTACATGAAAAAGTCTTTGAAAAAATTCTCTAAAAAAAAACCTTACACCCATCGCGTGTTTGCTTACATATTTACGAGCTTATATATTTCATGCGTATTTGTGTGAAATTTTCACTGCATAATTGCTTACAATCGCCCGCAGACATATGTACAACTTCAATTGCAATTTGTAAGCGAGATAAACGGCAAGTGTCAAAGTCGATGTAAATTGTTTGTAAATAACATAGGGTGTATTCTGAACAGGTTAGTGTTTTTTTTCTAGACGTTGGCAGCTCTGTATCTAACCAATATAGCTGCGTTCAGTGGATTTAACAATAGTAGGCCTTGCACACAATAAAATAAATAAGGCCAATATAAAGGCCATTCTACATTGGTCGTATCATAGCATCGCAAGCTTGTTGTTTCAGCCAATCCAATACTTCAATTTTAAATATTAAGGCTCGGTTATTCCACCTTTTGATAAATTTTACCTGTTAGGTAAATTTGACAATCCACGCATGTGATTGGGTATTCTTGCTATTTATCCAACAGATAAAATTTATCAAAAGGTGGAG